CTGAGTGTAACGGGGGCGGGTGTATGATATATACAGTCTGTGTCTGAGTGTAACGGAGGCGTGTGTGTGACATGTATATAGGCTGTGTCTGAGTGTAACGTAGGCGGGTGTATGAAATATACAAGCTGTGTCTGAGTGTTACGGAGGCGTGTTATATATATATAGATAGGCTGTGTCTGAGTGTAACGGGGGCGGGTGTATGATATATACAGGCTATGTCTTAGTGTAACGGAGGCGTGTGTGTGATATATATATAGGCTGTGTCTGAGTGTAACGGGGGCGTGTGTATGATATATACAGGCGTGTGTGTGATAAATACAGGCTCTGTCTGAGTGTAACGGGGGTGTATGTATGATACTTACAGGCTGTGTCTGAGTGTAAAGGGGGCGTATGTATGATATATACAGGCTGTTTCTGAGTGTAACGGAGGTGTGTGTGTGATATACATATATAGGCTGTGTCTAAGTGTAACGGGGGCGTGTGTATGATATATACAGGCGTGTGTGTGATATATACAGGCTCTGTCTGAGTGTAACGGGGGCGTGTGTATGATATATACAGGCTGTGTCTTAGTGTAACGGAGGAGTGTGTGTGATATATACAGGCTGTGTATGAGTGTAACGGAGGAGTGTGTGTGATATATACAGGCGGTGTCTGAGTGTAACGGAGGCGTATGTATGATACATACAGGCTGTTTCTGAGTGTAACGGAGGCGTGTGTGTGTTATATATATAGGCTGTGTCTGAGTGGAACGGGGGCGTGTGTATGATATATACAGGCGTGTGTGTGATATATACAGGCTCTCTCTGAGTGTAACGGGGGCGTGTGTATGATATATACAGGCTGTGTCTGAGTGTAAGAGAGGCGTGTGTATGATATATACAGGCTTTGTCTGAGTGTAACGTGGGCGTGTGTATTATAGATACAGGCTGCTGTGTCTGAGTGTAACGGAGCCGTGTGTATGATAGATACAGGCTATGTCTGAGTGTAACGGGGGCGTGTGTATTATATATACAGGCTGTGTCTGAGTGTAACGGAGCCGTGTGTATGATATATACAGGCTATGTCTGAGTGTAACGGGGGAGTGTGTATGATATATACAGGCTATGTCTGAGTGTGACCGGGACATGTGTATGATATATACAGGCTGTGTCTGAGTGTAACAGAGCCGTGTAAACGATATATACATGCTATGTCTAAGTGGAACGGGGGCGTGTTTATGATATATACAGGCTGTGTCTGAGTGTTACGGAGGCGTGTGTGTGATATATATAGGCTGTCTGAGTGTCACGGGGGCGCGTGTATGATATATACTGGCTCTGTCTGAGTGTAACAGAGGCGTGTGTATGATATATACAGGCTCTGTCTGAGTGTAACGGAGTCGTGTGTATGATATATACAGGCTATGTCTGAGTGTGACTGGGACGTGTGTATGATATATACAGGCTTTGTCTGAGTGTAACGGAGTCGTGTGTATGATATATACAGGCTATGTCTGAGTGTAACGGGGGCGTGCGTGTGATATATACAGGCTATGTCCGAGTGTATCGGGGGCGTATGTATGACATATACATGCTTTGTTTGAGTGTAACGGGGGCGTCTGTGTGATATATATACAGGCTGTGTCTGAGTGTAACGGAGTCGTGTGTATGATATATACAGGCTATGTCTGAGTGTAATGGGGGCGTGCGTGTGATATATACAGGCTATGTCCGAGTGTATCGGGGGCGTATGTATGATATATACATGCTTTGTTTGAGTGTAACGGGGGCGTGTGTATGATATATAGAGGCTGTGTCTGAGTGTTACGGGGGCGTGTGTATGATATATATATAGGCCGTGTCTGAGTGTAACGAGGCGGGTGTATGATATTTACAGGCTCTGTCTTAGTGTAACGGAGGTGTGTGTGTGATATATACAGGCTATGTCTGAGTGGAACGGGGGCGTGTTTATGATATATACAGGCTATGTCTGAGTGTAATCGGGGAGTGTGTATGATATATACAGGCAGTGTGAGTGTCACGGGGGCGTGTGTATGATATATACAGGCTTAGTCTGAATGTAACGGGGGCGGGTGTATGATATATACAGGCTGTCTGAGTGTAACGGGCGCGTGTGTATGATATACTCAGTAAACAGGCTATGTCTGAGTGTCACGGGGGCGTGTGTATGATATATACAGGCTGTGTGTGAGTGTAACGGGGGCGTGTGTATGACATATACATTCTGTGTCTGAGTGTAACGGGGGCGTATGTATGATAAAGATAGGCTATGTCTTAGTGTAACGGGGGCGTGTGTATGATATATACAGGCTATGTCTGAGTGTAACGGGGGCGTATGTATGATATATATTGGATATACAGGCTATGTCTGAGTGCAACGGTGACGTATGTATGATATATACAGATTGTGTCTGAGTGTAACGGGGAAGTGTGTATGATAAAGAAAGACTGTGTCTGAGTGTAACGGGAGCGTGTGTATGATATATACGTGATCATCTACGCGTACGAATATAATATATTCTTTCACCTGGCCGAAGAGGTCATCTGGGAAGTCTGTGGACAAAGGCGGGCTGATGAGTTAATCACTTCTGTAAAATCCTGATTCTGCATGGTGGTACTTGCATTTCTCCAAGGCTTGTTTTCACTATGTCAACATAGAATACAGGTTTTAAGCGCCATTTAAGCGTCAACCTTCACCAAATCGTTTCCCTTTTTCCCTGTCATAATTGGGCGAGACGCCATTTTTGTTCAGACTAACTAGATGCCTTGTCGATTACAATATATACATTTTACATTATCTATAATTAATGTTCTACATTGCACAGATTATTGTATTTTTGCTCACAAACAATACACACAATGTTTTTTTAATAATAAATATGCAAATCTTCTCAAATCTCATTCTGATTCCATATCAGGACGTGGATGAAAGAGCGATCGAATGAATTGTAGTATCGGCGACCAATGAAGAGCCAAGTTATTTATATAAAAACTGTAATTCCCATTTTATACCCTCTATCAGGTATGCCTTTCAAACCAAAAACAAATATATATTTATAAAACTATAAACTATCCACTGTAAAGCTTCGTATGTGAAAAGGTGGTAGGCGTCTGTCCTAGTTTTTGTTTTAAACATTGCAGCGTGAAACAATATTCCTCAAAAGAAAACAAACAACTTGTTGTTCCATGCAACAATGTAATGCGTTGTAAATACAGCTGGCGCATATAAACCCCCAAAACACGACCGAAACCAGCTTACTGTTTGTTGTGCCGTAGTACTCTACCACCTGCAAACATTACATGAAATGGCATGACCTACTTATCTTTTCGGAAGTAGTTGTTGACAGTAACGCAACAGTTTGAAATTTCGAAAGAGGAGGACGTGCCAGTTTTTTACATTTTGTGCATGATTGAAAGTGACTGACTGTCTTTGGTTTGGTTTGTTGTTTAACGCCGCACTCAGCAATATTCCAGCTAGATGATGGCGTTCGAGTTGTGACCAGACAATCCAGTGATTGACATCATGAACATCGATCCACGCAATTGGGATCGATGACCGTTTACCAAGTAGGCCAATAGTATTTATAAGGCTTGTTCTTAATTAGGTATAAATAGGGATGTTTCTAGTATATTTACAAGAGTCAGACAGATATGGCTATATTAGAAATGTCTTCATCATCAAAAGTCTTGATTTAATCATTGTCTGGAAACTATTGTAACCATGGGACATTGAACGCATACCACATGCTTTTTTATTATTATATTGCAATAAAAATTGTTCCCAAATGTAAGTTGCCACGACTGTTATGTAAATCCGGAACCAGACGTTCCTTTTCATAACTGTAGGATATGGGGTACAGAATCAAGTTTGCTGAAGCAAAGCGATATCTTAACACCTGAAAAAAAATACCGGTAAAAGCTTTCAAGCATTTGTGTTTTAAGATGTTATTATTTGTTATTATACCGTTATAATATATATATATATGTGAAATAATTGTCAGACGATCAACCGAATGATTTTTTTTATACATAGTACTAATAATCAAATTGTCTCTTTTGCTTGGAATTAGGCATAATTGGGCACACTTGCAGCACACATCGAAACCTTCACGAGGATAAATATCCGATTCTCAGTTCGTATCATACACATTTCTGTAGTTTTTGTTGCATTTATGGACTGACTGTATATTTGTTCCAGTTCATTGAGGTATGAATCGAAAAACCGATGTGCAAACTGTATATGAATCCACGTAGCGGATTCTTGCAAAAGTTTCCACATCGGATTTTCGATTCATACCTCAATAAATCGAAAAAAATACACATTCAAAGCTTATAATTAAATTAGACAACGAAAACATGTTTTATCTACAATAGTTTAACCCAAGGCAGTTGTATATATCAAAACAGACACAAATGACGAGACTGATAAACATTCCGGGTGTAGGAGTACAAACTGTGGTGTGACAAGAATCAGGTGATTGTTTAATTTATGTACATAACTTGACACGCCCATAAAATCAGTAGCCAATCAACGGAGAGTATAATAAAAACAAAGTTTATAGGACCTGTCAATCAAGGCAAGAGGCAAGAAGAACTGCGATAGTCGGATTGTAACGAGCCGGAATAAATATGTTCGGGAGAAGGCGGCTGTTTCAAATGACATTGTCAGTTACCGCCAGATTCAAACATTATTTCCCTGAGAACGGGAAGACACAGTTGGGAAAATGGTAGTTAGAATTGAAACCCGAAAACTTGAAAGGTGTGGAACCGAGGTAAGCGGGGAAAAATACAGGCTAGCGAGCCTGTACGTTTGCTGTTTCATTCCTTCTCTGCCTTCGGTCTCAAAGAGTTGTTTGGACAATGAAAATGTATGGATTTTGCTTATAATGTCCTGTGGATGTCGATACACATGAGCAGAAAGGGAATTCCCTCGACTGTAATTTTGGGATTCCCCGACATTCCGCAGTAATAAAAGTAGTCCGCCTTGATGGGCGTTGCTTAATTTTTTACATTTATTGGGAAATGAATGCAATAACACGTGAGCAGTCCAGCTAATCATAATGCTGGGATTTCAATGAATATAAAGAAAATTTTATTATATGACTATAACATCCTCTGTGATAAATCATCGTTAATGTCTGGAGAGGATTTGTCAGAATTCAGAAGCCCCACCCTCAAGCACGGTAGTTTAAGTCAATCCATGGTTTCTTTACTTTTAAGCTCCTGGTATTTATGTTGTCAGGCTTTTTGAAGAAGACGTCCATCATCGTAAGTAGCGTCACTTCAGACATACCGCCTGCAAGCAGAATTTCACGTATCTTCGATTCAAAACACGACAAAGCATGTTCTTTCGCTCCCTGCATTTCTTTCCAACGTCTCCTCATTAGATGGTACTTCAAATTTGTGTAAGGAATGCTATAAGTGAAGTCCGGCGGTCTCCTAATCTTTTTTCGGCTTGCAACAACCACTGAATTATCCAGAGATAATTCAAACTCCCTTTCTGATCCAGCCTGAGCTTCCCATCTATAAAACGTCATCTTCTCTGTGATGAAACAGAATAACGAACCATGTTTATGACATACTGGTATTATTAAATGCATGCTTCATGTCGCGATGTACATCTATGCTGCATATACGTTGTTCATCATTCACTGATAACATTTAATGCATAGAATCGTCAACATAAACATTAGACCCGTGAAGATCCGGGATTGAATAGGTCTTCAGCAACCCATGCTTGCCGTAAAAGGCGACTATGCTTGTCGTAGGAGGCGACTAACGGGATCGGGTGGTCAGGCTCGCTGACTTGGTTGATGCATGGCATCCTATCCCAGTTGCGTGGATCGATGCTCATGCTGCCAATCACTGGATTGTCTGGTCCAGACTCGATTATGTTTTAAACCGCCGTCATATAGCTGGATTATTGCTGAGTGCGGCGTTAACCAACAAAACAAACCAACATAAATATTATGATTCTACCAGGATACCTTGGTAATACAAATACATCGTCGATAAGGCCATGGTAGTATTTGCTATATTGTGACTGATATGAACAAATGGAATTCTATCAGGTTATGGCGTTTACCTTTGAAAGGGAGATCCGAGAATGGCATATTGAGCAGAGTTGTGAAGCTTGGTCCACCGCCCAGATAAATGTCCAAATACCTCCGCAAAGTTTCAGGTCTCCAAAGAATGGTAAGACTCTTTGGAGCTCCTCCTGCATGTAGGACTTGGTACACAACCCAGCAACAGTTTTGATTCAGGAAGGAATAGTGACCCGTGCTCTTTTGTTTCGTCCACCACGTGATCATTTTATCCAGGTCTAATGCTGTGGACAAAATCTTGAATGTATAGTCAGGATCCCTGCCCTCGTCCTTTATGTCATCTTGAAGGTTGTCACTGCAACGATTTTTCTTCTCCTTGAGGCCACATTTCACTTTATCTTCTTTAGGCCACCAACTGACATACTGGCGATTGCTAAGATCAAGAGCTGCGTGGCCGACCTGCCTGACTCCAAGAGGCATCCATATATAGATTAAATGGAAACTGAAAAAGAGGGCATTAGTGTGTGAGTGTGAGTGTGAGTGTGAGTGTGAGTGTGAGTGTTTCCACTGACAGATAGAGAATCTCACACTCGTGTCTTTTGCCGAGGATTTTTGCCACTTTTATCAACGAGTGTTGATATATTTGATATCAAAAGACACGAGGGTGAGATTTAATTTATCATCCAACATCATTCTTCCAACTTTTTAGGTTTATAGACAGTAATAAGCAGTGTCTTAAGTGTAAAAAGTACTGCTAACAGCTTCAGTAGCAGAGCTATTAGTGATGTCATTTGATTGTGACGTCATGGTAACCAATGACGTTACAATGGTCTGCAAAGCATTGTGATGCAATTTCATTGCAGCGATTTCTACACTGTAGATATCGCTTGATCTCACCCAAGCGATATCTCCTGTGGGAGCCAGTTTTGGATCATAAATTTGACTATCTCACTGCAAATTATGCAATAAATTGTCTTTAACGGTACCTTTATAGGTGCTCAGAGGGTCATGTTTGAGCTTGGAATTATATTTCGGATTCCATTTTTTTTTAGTTAAGTACAAAGTAATAAATAGTATATTTAAGAGTGGAATCTCATCCATGATCAATACGATCAGAGTTAAGCACTTGATAATCAGCGAACAGAATCAGCGACCTACCCCACTCAGCCACTGAGGCTTCCACAAAAATGGAAGTCCTACAATAGGTTAACTAGATCACTTTCATTGTGTACCCTTTTGATAAGTGTAAATGGGCATGCTTTAATCGTCAAAAAATATGAATAGCCAAAGCCTTTCAAAAAATTGTTACATATGTTATAAAGGCGATAACACTTTCTAAGTAAAGTATAAATTCTAATACTTATTTTAGGTCAGTTACATTTGGCTACATTTTAAAGGCATTGTCTATTTGTTTATTTCAGCCATGGGAAAGTCAGTTGGTTTATAAGCAATGAGAAGAGACATACGGAACAAAACATTTAAGAAAGTGACATCCGATGGAAAGTGACATCCCTTGTGTACACTGAAGTAAATATGAGCTGTAGAGCTTCGGAGTGGAAATGGTATTGAATGTATCTGTGAAACTTTAAAAAAAACTTTTTCGAAGAGATAAAATAAATACCTTTCGTCAGATAGTGCCATTTGCCTGTTGTAAGAGGTGATCTCTGGTACCCCACCTTCTGAAAAATAGAGAACAGCTGGTATGTGAGAGGTGAAATATGAGAGGTGACATTTTAGAGTTGAACCTCCTCGAACGATCAAGGCGATTTTACGAGAATTTCAGTCATTTGCTTACAACAATATCCACTGCCAAAGACGCGAAATGTATCTTATCGATGATTCAGCTTTGTTTCCTGTCCTATAGAAGTCTTTACCATAGTAACACCCCTACCTTCCAACAAAGACATAAATCAAAATCAATAAATTAAAATCACATCACACATAATTGATCATGACAAATAGGGCTATGATCTGGACTTATCAATTTTACAACTTGGGTAACAAGCTTTGAGGCACGTGGCAGTTTGATCGTGATTCGCCCCTCTTGGATAAATGGACAATGCTTTGTTTTAGCCGAAATGGACCCTGGGACAGCAGCGAGTACGACCTCATTTAAGATTAGATCACATGGCAAGCAAGTTAGGTTTGTAAAGAAAGCAAACAATATTATTGAATTAGACTGTTGGTCCATACTATAGTACAGGATTCTAAGTCTATCATCTTGGTGTTATCGTTTGCAGATTAGTTTATATACTTCAAAGGCAGGGCTACTCGCATTAATTTCATGATATATTTTAGTTCAGGAGTAGACAAAGTAGGCAAAGACATTGTGGATAGCAACTTCTTTATTGTATTGTCATAGCAACGTTCCGGTGTAGATCCATATACCATTGTCAAGCAAGACAAAAAACTATTGCTTAGATCTTTCTTGATAGAAAGCTTGTCGTGGCGAATCTGGACTGCTTCTGCTAGTTTTCTTTTAGTGAAGTGATGAAGGTTGTTGAAGGGAATTTGGATGTTTTCCCAAACATTCTTGGATTCTTGGGGTTTGGGGTACTGAGGAAGGTGGAGCTGGTGAAGTAGGTGTCAATGTTGGCTTGTTAAGGAGGGTTGAGGAAGGAGAGTTAGTGTAATATACAATGGGGAAGGAGGGCGAGATAGAAGAGGAGATGTAATATACACTGGGGGATGAGGGTTGAGGAAGGCGAGTGGATGTTATCTACGCTGAGGAAGTAGAGTTGAGGAAAGGGAGGGGATGTAATATATACAGGGGAAGGAGGTTGAGATAGGAGAGGGGATGTAATATACACTGAAGAAGGAGGGTGAGATAGGAAAGGGAATGTAATATATACAGGGGAAGGAGGGTGTGTTTGGCGAGGGAATGTAATATACACTGAAGAGTGAGTGAGTGAGTCGGGTTTTAACGCCGCGTTTAACAGTATTCCAGTTATATCACGGCGTGTCAGCTTGATGTGGGAGGAAAGCCCGAAGTGATGCAGGTCTCAGACGTTTACCACTTCGGTGAAACCCACGAGCACGGGTATGGTGCTGACAAACCTAGAAACATAATCGGGGCGAACCGGGATTCGAACCCACAATCATAGATTTCTGGCGTGCCCAAGGGACGCAATTCTGCACAGCGAATCGCAGCGCCTTAGACGACTGGGCCACCCGTGCCCCCTTACACTGAAGAAGGAGAGTGAGAGAGGAAAGGGGATGTAATATATACAGGGGAAGGAGGGTGAGATAAGAGAGGGGATGTAATATACACTGAAGAAGTAGGTTGAGATTGGAGAGGGAATGTAATATACACTGAAGAAGTAGGTTGGGGGTGGAGAGGGGATGTAATATACACTAGAGAAGGAGGGTGAGATAGGCGAGGGGATGTAATATATACAGGGGAAGGAGGGTGAGATAGGAGAGAGAATGTAACATACACTGAGTGAGTGAGTGAGAAAGGGGAGGGGATGTAATATATACAGGGGATTGAAGGTGAGATTGGAGAGGGAATGTAATATACACTGAAGAAGTAGGTTGAGGTTGGAGAGGGGATGTAATATACACTGAAGAAGGAGGGTGAGATAGGAGAGGGGATGTAATATCTACAGGGGAAGGAGGTTGAGATTGGAGAGGTGAGGTGAGGTGAAATTGGGTTTAACGTCGCGTCCAAGATTATTGCACTTATATAGCGACGTGCATGCACGTGTATGTGTGTGTGTGGCTGCTTGTACTAGTCCGGACTGATGCCGATTTATAGTGCTAGCTCACTGAGATACCATGCCGCAGTTTAACATGAATACCCCACTCAGACACAGTATACTGACTCCGAGCCGACCAGTCCTTGTTTTAGCCCCTTAATGCCGAGCGCCAGACAGGGTAACAACAAGTACAATCTTTTAACGTCTTTTTGTATGACGCGGCCCGGGATCGAACCCTGGACCTTCCGCTCTCCGGGCGGACGCTCTACCACAAGACCACGGAGGCGGTCGAGATTGGAGAGGGGATGTAATATACACTGAAGAAGGAGGGTGAGATTGGCGAGGGAATGTAATATACACTGAGTGAGTGAGTGAGTGAGGAAGGAGAAGGGATGTAATATATACAGGGGATTGAAGGTGAGATTGGAGAGGGAATGTCATATACACTGAAGAAGGGTGAGATAGGAGAGGGGATGTAATATAAACAGGGGAAGGAGGGTGAGATAGGAGAGGGGATGTAATATAAACAGGGGAAGGAGGGTGAGATAGGAGAGGGGATGTAATATAAACAGGGGAAGGAGGGTGAGATAGGAGAGGGATGTGATATATACAGGGGAAGGAGGGTGAGATAGAAAAGGGGATGTAATATATGCAGGGGAAGGAGGGTGAGATAGGAGAGGGAATGTAATATAAACAGGGGAAGGAGGGTGAGATAGGAGAGGGAATGTAATATAAACAGGGGAAGGAGGGTGAGATAGGAGAGGGGATGTAATATAAACAGGGGAAGGAGGGTGAGATAGGAGAGGGATGTGATATATACAGGGGAAGGAGGGTGAGATAGAAAAGGGGATGTAATATATGCAGGGGAAGGAGGGTGAGATAGGAGAGGGAATGTAATATAAACAGGGGAAGGAGGGTGAGATAGGAGAGGGAATGTAATATAAACAGGGGAAGGAGGGTGAGATAGGAGAGGGGATGTAATATACACTGAAGAAGTAGGTTGAGACTGGAGAGGGGATGTAATATACACTGAAGAAATAGGTTGAGGTTGGAGAGGGGATGTAATATACACTGAAGAAGGAGGGTGAGATAGGAGAGGGGATGTGATATAAACAGGGGAAGGAGGGTGAGATAGGAGAGAGAATGTAATATCTACAAGGGAAGGAGGTTGAGATTGGAGAGGGGATGTAATATACACTGAAGAAGGAGGGTGAGATAGGAGAGGGGATGTAATATAAACAGGGGAAGGAGGGTGAGATAAGAGAGGGAATGTAATATACACTGAGTGAGTGAGTGAGAAAGGAAAGGGGATGTAATAAATACAGGGGGTGGAAGGTGAGATTGAAGAGGGAATGTAATATACACTAAAGAAGTAGTTTGAGATTGGAGAGGGGATGTAATATAAACAGGGGAATGAGGGTGAGATAGGAGAGGGGATGTAATATAAACAGGGGAAGGAGGGTGAGATAGGAGAGAGAATGTAATATCTACAAGGGAAGGAGGTTGAGATTGGAGAGGGGATGTAATATACACTGAAGAAGGAGGGTGAGATAGGAGAGGGGATGTAATATACACTGAAGAAGGAGGGTGAGATAGGAGAGGGGATGTAATATAAACAGGGGAAGGAGGGTGAGATAGGAGAGGGTATGTGATATATACAGGGGAAGGAGGGTGAGAAAGGAGAGGGGATGTAATATAAACAAGGGAAGGAGGGTGGGATAGGAGAGGGGATGTGATATATACAGGGGAAGGAGGGTGAGATTTGAGAGGGGATGTAATATAAACAGGGGAACGAGGGTGAGATTGGAGAGGGGATGTAATATAAACAAGGGAAGAAGGGTGAGATAGGAGAGGGGATGTGATATATACAGGGGAAGGAGGGTGAGATTGGAGAGGGGATGTAATATATACAGGGGAAGAAGGATGAGATTGGCGAGGGAATGTAATATACACTGAGTGAGTGAGTGAGTGAGAAAGGAGAAGGGATGTAATATATACAGGGGATTGAAGGTGAGATTGGAGAGGGAATGTAATATACACTGAAGAAGTAGGTTGAGATTGGAGAGGGGATGTAATATACACTGAAGAAGGAGGATGAGATAGGAGAGGGGATGTAATATCAACAGGGGAAGGAGGGTAAGATACAATGTAGCTGGTTCAGATTGCCTATTTCAAGTTGACAGGTCACTGGTTCATGTGATGACTCAATGTCATTTCCAGCTTAACAGAGATATACGCAGATGCATAACACATCGTCAACAACACTCTATCCATCGTTAGTTGTTGTTACCCTGTCTGGCGCTCGGCATTAAGGGGCTAAAACAAGGTCGGCTCAGAGTGGTTAGACTGCGGCATGGTATCTCAGTGAGCTAGCACTATAAATCGGCATCAGTCCGGACTAGTGCAAGCAGCCACACATACACGTGCATGCACGTCGCTATATAAGTGCAATAATCTTGGACGCAACGTTAAACCCCATTTCACCTCACCTCACCTATCCATCGTAAGGAAAACAAAAAACTTTGCTTATACCGGAATATTCCAGCTATATGACGGCTGTGTAAATAAATATTCGAGTCTGGACCAGACAATCCAGTGATTGACATCATGAGCACCGATCTACGCAATTGGGTAACGATGACATGGATCAACCAAGTCAGCGAACCTGAGCACGTTATCCCGTTCGTCGCCACTTACGACAAGCATAGTCGCCTCTTACGACACGCATTGGTTGCTGCAGACCTCTTCTAACCCGTATCGTTTGTTCTTAGCATACAGCTTTATAGACAATGTTTGGAATACATTCAGTCTGGAAAGATTTGCGAACAAGAAGGCATTGCGAAAACTGCGAGTGACACACGATAATGCATTATTTTGTCAGGCCAACAATAATAAAAAAATGTTTACTAATGGTCCACACCTCGTTAAGTTGATTACATTACACTTAGTATTCCAGACATACGTCATACAGATAAGATAAG